TACTATTTTACTTTTTTCACCTGGGCTAGCTCACTACTACAGGTAACACTGTGTCAGTGGGACATGTCCTACATTGAGATATAGCTACATAGATGTTCAACATCTTTCTCGCTATCATGACAGTCAAGTCAAGTCAATCAACCCTGAGTAGCCTATCCAGAGTGGTCCCATTATTTAGTATGCACTTCGCACCTTCAAAGTGCAAGGTGTTGCTGCGGGACCACCAGCCACTTGATGACACCTTGACGCTTGCTAACGAGGAACTCGAAGTGGTTGATCATTTCACTTATCTTGGTAGCTGCATCAGCAATGATGGGCGCATAGAAACTGACGTGAGCTCACGCATTGCAAAGGCCAGAGCTGCGTACTTGAATCTGCTGCATCTTTGGCGACAGAAGGGAGTTTCCCTCCGTCTGATAGGCCGTGAATACAAGGCCACAGTGAGGGCCGTTCTGCTCTATGGTTGTAAAACTTGGCCCCTTCGGTCTGAAGATCTGAGGCGCCTTCAAGTCTTTGATCATCGTTGTTTGCGAAGCATTGCTGATGTCGGATGGCACCAGCGTATCCGCAACGACGTGCGTAGGCGAGTACTAGGTAGTGATAATCATGCTAGCAACCTAGAACAACAGATAGCACTGAATAAGTTGCGTTGGCTCGGGCACGTGCTACGTATGCCCGGTCACCGCTTACCTAGGAGGGCCTTGTTCAGTCTACCAGGTGTAGGATGGCGCAAGGCTCGAGGTAGACAGAAGTTGACTTGGCAGCGGGAAATGAAGTCACTGACAACCAAACTGGGTGCCGTTGGTCCGTCTCGCCTTCCGGGTTGGAGTCCACGTGAATCATCTTGTGCTTGGCTCGAGACTTTGCAGGAGATGGCTCGCAGTAGACACCAGTGGCGCGTCTGCTGCCCTCTCCTAATCGGATTGCCTGTTTAAATTATGTTTGGTGCTGAGTTATCTGCGGGATAATGGCTGATTATGACGCGAGGCAGTGTAAGCCGCAAGGAAGCTGTCTCGTCGATGCCGCCTTCTCTTTGCACGATAGCCAGCTGTTTGTGACGGTATGTTGTCTTCACAAGGTGTAAGCGCCTTGACCCTGAATGTTTGCTTAGGGCATTATGGTTTTCAGGTAAGTCCCCCTTCTCTCCCTATTCTTATTCTTTATTTCATAGGTCCTCATGGATGTATGGCAGCGAAGCATCAGTTCGAATGGCTGATGTACTGCTGTTGATGATGAGGTCTCCTGCTGCCTGTTTCCCGTATCAGACGGAATAACTTACGATGGTTACCAAGGGCAGCTGCCACTTCCATCTCTGACGCACGAAGAGACCACCAAGATTCGTGGTCTCTCTTCAGGCTAGCACGGAGTTTCGCACGGAACGCTTTGCGAGTTTCATTGTGTTCGCTTCCGGTCGGAATATGCCGGCGAGCATAGATAAGTTCCAGAAACCGTGAAGAGACCCAATGTCCATGGTGACTATTAGACTTACCACATGAGGATTTGCTTGCTGCTAGTTAGGTCTGGTGAACATGTGATCAGTGACCTTCAATTGTCTGCAGTGAGCGCTTACTCAACTAGCATACCAACGTACTTTGATAGGCATTCAGAACAGCAGGCTTTGTTAGTTGGCTGGTGTCAATGCGCTCACAGCGTCGTCGTGGTCGTCCGTCAAAACGCATCCGCATGTCAGCATATACAAGTGCACGATTGGTGTCCACATATGTGCTCCAAATCGAGCGACAGTTTTGAACGCAGCCTCTCCAGCGGTAACGGATTGCAATGTGATCTGGTGGCCGTCGGCCCGTAGCAGAGGTAACGACCTTGTCTAGTAATCTTGCAGCGCGGGTTCGAATCTGCGTAGGGGTAAGTGTTGTCAACTTCAAGTTCGGCTGGGACTAAAACGACAGGAGAACACCGTGAGTGTTTCATCTTGAGTGGATCGTTTTGCCAGGAATTGATGAAGTGCTCAGTTATTGATGGATCTAAAACGGAACACCAGTATCGCACCCTGGCCAACCAGTTAATGCCCACGTTTCCTACCCTAGCAGTCCCTGCTGTGGCAGCCACGTGAAGTAAGCAAAGAATAGGAAAAGAAATCAAGGATACAGAATAAGGAAGTACACTTGAAATAATAAAATAATACCAATGCTTGAAGAAAAGCAGAAAAAAAAGAAAATCGAGGTATGAAGATGCGAGTTACTAAGGAAAAGCTTTCGTGTTGCTACCCAAGAGCGTCAAGTTGCTGCTCAAACCCCTTAACCGTAGATTCACTGATAACACTCCGGTAGCATGTTCCAGCGCTCGATGACCCGGCGTGACAGCCGGATTCGCGCCCTAATCCGATCGCACCGAGGTTTGTGCAGCTTTAAGGAATGACCGTGTAGAACAGACAATCTAGCGGGACTGAGTAGCCAAGATAAATCTGGACCAACTTTTCAAGTTAAGATACGGTAGGTTAGGATTAGGTCTCCTCTAAGCCTTCGGTAGTGCATTGGATGCATTCCCAAATTAAATAGACGCTCGGGGTACGTCCGTCCCCGTAATCCCTCAAATAACCTAGTACCCCCCCCCCGTATAATCCTCTCTAGCGCCATTTTGTCCCGGACGAGGCAGGGCGGACATGTCTGGACGCAGTATTCCAGATGAGGCTGAACGAAAGCCGAGAACAGTCTCGTAAAGATGCCATGCTTCAAGACTCCGAAAGAACGTCATATTAACCACAACATGCGGAAACCTCTGCTTGCGGCCATCTTCCAGTTGTCGCTCGAGTGTAAAGTCGAAGAGTGTACGACGTTTAGACCAACCTGGCTAGATACACGGTGAGTTCGACCCCACCGACCAAGTACTTCGTAGGAGGACAACCTCCTTCAATTCGAAGAACGGAGCACTTTGTCTGATTTATGGGCAATAACGATAAAGTAGACCAGTCCCAAAGCTTATCCAATGCTCGGTGAATAGCTTCGGAACAGCCATGAACATCGACCATGTTTCACAGCTTCAGGTCATCAGCAAATAGCTCCGCGGGTAGGTCATTCACATAGATAGAGAACAGCAGCGGTCGAAGGACCGAGCACTGTGGCACGCCACTGAAGAAACACGGCCTAAACGATAGGCCACGGCCTACCCGTACACACTGTTCTCTACCATCCAAGAAGTCACCCAATGAAGGGCGCGGCCAGATACCCTGTAGAATGTCAGCTTCTGCGCAAGCCTCAAATGGGGTACCTTGTCAAATGCCTTCGAAAAGCACGTCCAGTGGGTGGCCGTTATCCACTGCGTCCGCCCAACTTTCGCGAGCCACCAGTAGATTCGTCAGACAGGAAAATCCCTTCCGAAATCCGTGCTGTACATTGCTAAGTAGTGTAAATCTACCCAGATGACTCTCCAATGAATCTCACCAGTTTCTCGAGGAGTTTGACTACTATACTCGTCAGACTCACTGGCCTATAATTTTCAGTCAGACTCCTGTCCTCATTTTTGAAGATAGGACAGATGATAGCTTCTTTCCATTTGGAAGATAATGCACAGTTGTCAAGCGATTTCTGAAACACCACAACAAGCGGTTCACTTAGTTTTGCAGCCAACTCACGCAACAGTTTCGGGTAAATTAAATCAGCCGCATAGGCCTTAGAAGGGTTCAGCCCTTGTAACAGTCTACGAAATTCGTCTCCGCTACGATAAATTCAGATAGTCCTGAATCCTCTGGGATCCTACAAACCAGCTCAACACCTGTCATAGGTTTCCCTTACAAACGCTGTTGCATATTGTTCACTAAGTATGCAGGCCTTGTCATAGTCCGTATGCGCATGAGTACCGTCATCACGCATCAATACTGGAATGGACATTTTCGAACCGCAGCGCCTTTTGACGTATGCGAAGAATCTTTTTGGATTCTCAGAAGCTTCGTCTACTTACCCATTCTCAAAATTGAGCCGAGCAATCCTTAGGTGTTGCTTACACCTATTTCTAGCTTTACGGTACTTGTCATAAGTATTGATAAGTCCGCCAACATTTAGACCACTTTGTGAGCAGACGCCTGCCATTGGAATTTATCCATGGCAGCTGTGCTCGTGCCTCTTTTCTCCTTGTGACTGGGATGAAGGGAGCGGAAACCTCTGCGAGGTGGGACTTAAACTTATCCCAGGCAACCTGGACAGTATCATCGCCTGAGACCTCACAATGGAAACCCGAAGCCTTGGCTCTCAATGATTGATACTCTGCGTGCCATATGTTCGGGAGAGAGACAATAGTGATAGCGTCTATACAGAGTACAACTGAAGAGCAAACAAACATGATCACTGGAACCCAGTGGAGGTCCGTGAGTAATGTCACTAAAAAAGCGAGTGACTTATCAAATACAAGGTCTAAGATAGACGGTACTTGGGCGATCACGCACCTAGTGGGGATGACAAGGAACTGATACAACGGTAGTTGGAGCGTAAGCTCAAGTGGATCAGCGCCGAATGTGCCTGACGCTGAGTTGCAAGGAGGATCTGCCCAGAAAACCTTCGGGATATTGAAGTCACCCATCAGCAAACACTTGTTTGCAGACTGGATACGTTTCCAGGAGTTCTATACCCAATTACAACTGTAATCCGAGTCGTGGATGTGTTAATCACAGCCGACAGATGGTAACGTTTTGTCTGCCGACTGAAATGAGGAAGCCTACAAAACGTCAAGTTTACGGTTCATATAAAGAGCGACGCCTCCCTGCCGGCCAACGGAGCGCTATGCTCAGCACGCGTGCGACGGGTGTTGGTCACACGGCAGCAGAGCATCGATACGTGGTACAGCTGATACATTATTATTTTATTACATCTGGTGGCTAGCTGCGTGGTACCGTCACAGCTGCGCGTATAGGACCTAGCGCGAAGCGGCTAGATGGATGGCGTGAAAGCGCACGATAGGTGCCAACTCCAACAAGAAAGTAGACGAAGAGGTAAGGTAGATAGAAGAGGAAACGGCGCACACAATAAAGGCCACGCTTAACGACAACTTACTTGCTGACCTGCCGCTAGGACACAGGCGCGTTACAACAGTGACACTTTGACCGCCACAAGCGGAGAGTTGACTGACCACCAAAAAGCAATTATTTTTATTACCAATGCGGTAAAACGCAAATCGGATTTAGACAAACTACTAGCTACAACTGTATAAACATAATGCGCAAATTTTGCATGTGTTGAGAACAATCTAATTTATAGGTTTTGTAACTAATCAAAAGCGACGAGAAGAGAGAGACGTACCACACGGATTCTCCTCTCTTGGAAAATTTGCCATACATGCTCGCACTTCCTTCTTTTTACGGATACATACTGCGGCCTTTCATAAACCATTTTTTATATTCCCTTTCCTTTTTAACCACTTATGTATGTTATATTCGAACTTTTAAAATTTTATTCAACTTTGCGAATGGGCATGACACAGTTCAGTTTTCAGGTTTTTGGAGCTACTGACATCTTCACAAACACGTTGCGCAACAAATTAATCCAATAAAACCCACGCATTCAGAGAACTCAGAAACCGGTTGTCCTGATGAACAAGAGAGCGTCGGATTAATCTAAAACGCTGGCCACTAATGGCAAGGCAAACGGTGTGAATTTAAGATGGCGAAGCTATCCGATTGGCCGCATGGACGTGATTAGAATTGCGTGGAGAGTTGTATCTTCTAGTCAGCTTAACCTGAAAATGTGTGTTTGAATGCACCAATATGACGATTAATATTGGTAACCGTTGGCACAAAAAGGAACGATGTCAACAAATGAGAAGGACGATGAGTTACTATCTGGTAGGTAGAAATCACACAATATCATTGTTCCTTCTTTGGAAAAGGATGCAAGAAGCTGGTATATCTCTGGCAGTTGTTAGCAGCTTATTGACAGTCAAAATGATTGTTGCACTGGTGGGATCCATTTCGCATTGAGAAGTTTCTGCTCGATATTCTGGAAAGCTCTGTGGTCGTATTATGATACATAAAAGGGTTTTTAGATGTTAGCAGGTTACAGTGAAATGTTAAGGAATGAGAGTAATACACCAGCCGTCTAGACACGGATAGTTAAATCGGTTCACGACGAAGTGAAGAAGCTTTCACGGGCCTCTCTTCGGCTCTCTACTACGAAGCGTTTCCTTAGTCAATACGAAGGTTTATCTTAGTAAATACGAAGGCTGCTCTTCGTAAATACGAAGCAATACGGCGGTTTTCCTTAGTATATACGCAGGTTTTTCTCAGTAAATACGAAGGCTGCGCTCCGTAATTACGAAGCAATACGGTGAATTCTCTTAGTACGTACGAACGTCGGTCACCTTACTGACGAAGCTATACTAATGTTTCTCTCAATATATCCGAAGGTTGCTCTTCCTACTTAGGAAGCAATACTAAGATTTTCGACGCCGTGCTACGATTCTTCTAAGTAAATTAGAAGGATGCTCCTGGTAATAACGAAGCGAAAGTAAGAGATCTCTTAGTTAATGGGTTACCTTACCAAAGGGTAACGTTCACATGAGCGACGCGATTGAAGGCTTTCGGGAAGCCTACAGGAAGAGGTTTCTCCTTATGGCGTAAGCCAAATGCTCCTAAGTAATCGCTATGAAGCTAATAGTATATCACGGTTTCCTTTCATTACCTACCGGAAACGGTCGTACTTTTGCCATGCACTGCCCAGTGAACGTTTTCAAAAATGTGGACGCACAATAAATGAAAGCAATACGTAAGCAGACTGCTGCGAAGAGTACACTGTCTACTTACCCATAGGGCATTTGCAGCCTGATTTCCCTTCTCCCCGTCCGACTAGGTAACGAAGTGACCAGGGAGTAAATACCGCATTTGTGAGGCATTCAATCCCACACCATTGCAAAAGCTGGCTGACATCTTAATGCAAATGTGAACCAACGTAGGTTATCAGCTACTGCGAAATATGAAACCGCGCAACGTAGTTGTCCCTGTCTTTTGATAAATGAAAGACAATGGCCTGCAGTGCGTTCCTTCCAGTCACGCAGTAGTCGGAAGCGGTAGTCACAATACGCGGCGGGACGGTGACATCCTATAACATATGCGGAAATCCCAAACAACGATTGAAGCACACCAGGAAATGGTTGCAAATGTATATTAATGTGCATGGAAACATTTACATGTTTGTCCGTGTTTCCCGAATGCTTTGATTGTCTAAATCTATCAAATCCAAAGGCTGTAAATGAAACCGTTATGTACGGCATTAAAGGTACACAATACCTGCGATTCCTGACTGCTGGATGTGGCAGATGTACGCCGGTGCATGTTGCTCCGGGTAATCTGTAGCCATTTGCAAACGCCGTTCGCAACGGCGTTGCCCGTGACCCAAAATCGGTTAACGATAACTTCTGTGAAGGAAGATAATATGGGAAAGGTTTTCTGAGTTACCTTGAAGCGCACTGAATGTGTGCGTCTTCTTGAACGGTATCGCATTGTTTGCCCCAGCGAAGTTCAGCTGCCTCAAGACGTCTCTGCTCATAACCCTGTCCAACATGTATCGTACAGCCTCCGATACAGTGCCGGCGGGTGTTGATTTCATGCGGGTAGTCTAAGTCATGAATGCGAAATCCTCCAAGGTGACTTACCAGTTCTCGACGGAGGTCGGGGTCCACCAATTTACCCTCCAAGTCCATGAATTCCTCAATGGTTGAGGTAGGTAGAAATAACTCATTCGGTTGCATCGGTTGGGCAGTCCACATGGCCTGGCTCAGGGCTGCGTGGCTCTCCTTCAATACGTGAAGGGTCTCCTCCACGCGTCTAAGTGAATCGGCTAATTCGTTGCAAGTAAGAAGCTCAAACATACCGACCACGACGTGCAAAGTGTGCATGACCCTTTTTTCTGCTTCATGACACCTGCCTGCCAGGGCGTGTATCTAAAGCGCAAAAGCGGAAGACTTACAGCATTTGATACCCTCCGATTGAACGGATACTTCATTACATCCACCTGTTGCGGAAAACGGAATTACGGAAAAGGGCATTTACGCATGTGGGAATCCTCCTGGACGTCATCAGCATTCTGAGGAGGCATGGTATGCCGCGCCAACTCCTCCAACGAGAAATCAGGAAAACTCCCATAGCTTGCAGATGCAGGAGCGTTGCAGCGTTTTTTTCTTGTTGGTACATTATCATCCCCGTAATCACGAAGTTTCGCCGGCAGGCGTCTGCAATGCATTGCGTTATCAATCGTGTAGCGCATTACATAACTCGTTTCGGTGATGTTTGCATGGGGATGGTGCAATCGGTGTCCGTCCCATGACGTTGATCCGCGACGGTCCTCTCCACTCGGCGTGCGTCCTCGAAATGCACTGCAAATGCTTAAATGAATGTGCTTACCTGTACGATGAAGAACCGTCACGGGAAACATTTTACAATCAGCAATCGGGTATCTATGCTCCCGCACAGCCTGGTGGTAATCGAACAGTGGAAGGATGGGCAAAAGACCATGCTGCCCGTCCTCCAAAAGCCATCTGCTGCTAATTGTGGTCACCTGGGACACACCGTCGTGCGTGTAAGTGACAACGCAGAAATCCCACAGCGGCATATCTGTAGAAGCCATTACATACGTGATTACCGTAAGCATCCAACTGCTGGACGCCCCGGAAAAAGGGGGAACACGGGCAACACAAACAACCACAGACTACAGATGGAACACTCGGAAGTAATCTATGTAAAGAGTATATTTTAATGCGTGTCATCCGTAACGGTGCCAGAAACACAACATTAAGTCACTTCGTGGCCTTCCAATGTTCCTCAGGTCGTGAATGTCGCAAGTTCCCCTCCGATCCATGTTTCCGTGTTGGTAAGTGCAAGGGAAATTACTGACGTGATCTCGCATAACTGGGACATAACAAAAAGCGGCACTTACCGTAGGCTGTGGGCACAAAGGAATAGAGGTACTTGAATACTTGTTATCAACATGGGCCGCCTTCCTTGAGCTTTCAAAATTTTTGAATTTTTTTTGTCTTTTTCAAAATCATTTTGCTTTTTTTGCTGTCTCCGGATAAAGTGTTACCAGAAGGATAATGAAATGGTCACATATACAAAGCGGATAAAACGCATGTGCAATTGCCCCTACAAAATGTAAGCTGACACCCAACGTAGTGTAATCGGCGCCGCATGCAATAGCGTTCAATACTCTTTAATGCGGGCGTCGCTCGCCGTTGACGCACCGTTAATAAACACGCATAGCCGGCAAATGCCGTTAGCACTATATCTAAGGGGATCCTGCAGCACGCATACCTTTTCATCATTGCATACAGCAACAAGAACGCAAACCTACGGCACCCTGGGTTTTTGCGTCCTAAACGTATGCAGCAATGGGATGATGACTTCGTCTAAACCGACGGTGAAACATACGCATTTGCATAGGATGTCATGAATAGGAAACCGCCGCAAGTCATCAGACACACCGTTAGCAACATAAATGTGCAGCCTGGAAGATGGCATACTATGGACGTATAAATCTCTGAGATGTAGGAATGATGCGCAGTTAACATATGCGGTTGCGGCAACGTCCGGGTGCAACGATACGATTTGGTACGGTTTCTTTCCTACGATGATTACGTTGTCCGGTTTGCATGGGAAAAACACGGTCCCATTTAACCTAAAACACAATTGCCTATTTATTTCGACGAGGGCTATAGTTTCACATAAGTTGGAGGGCTGATTACCATTGCAAAAGTTTCCCTGGAACTCCATACACCGTCGCAAAAGCTGAGGTACGATGTTCACTGGGCTTCGTATTCGCTTTTTCAGACACCTAATGTAAGGTTCGAAAGGGAACGCGGAGAAATCATCCAGTGTCCCATGTGTATACGCATCTTGTGCCAAATGACACAGGGAATGCATGTTGAATGTCAGTTCTTCAGCCCCATACAGTTTGAAGAAACGCGAAATAAACACCATAAGTACATTATGTGCAAAAGAGCAACATTTTCTGAATAGCAATGGATGACAAAGCAGATAAATACCTAACTGCAAATCCAAGAAATTGACGTAACAGTCCAGGGGCAAAATATCCGCCAGAACCGCTGGTCCGGCATACAACAAGAATTGCCGAAATTCAGACGCTTTCCACCATCTGAACTTATCTACGCTT